CTTGTGCCAAGTTTTCAGAAATGAATGGAACTGTAGTTCTGGGAAAATCCTGGGAACAGCCAAAAGCTGAACAAAGAGAACCTCCTGACTCTGATGCTCTTAACCCCATCGTGGATCACTCAGGCCTGCTTGGATGTTGAGACAGTGGTGGCCATGATCAATAGTCAGAGTTCTGTAAAGCCTCTGTCCTAAAGATTGTGTGGGGACCCAAACCACGGCACCCTCTGCTTCTGCCAGGATATTACACCAAATGGGAATTATTCATTATCTTTGTTTTATGTCCTGAAAGTACCTTTCCAAAATTCCCATACAATTGCTGGTTTACCAGTTTTCATGAGATTGGGAATATAATCCTGTTGAACAGTTGGATATTTTTCTTTTGCTTTTACTTTGGGAGTTGCATACAGGAATGTGAGAGCATTTTGGACACATGGGGCCAATAATGGGAACCAGATTGCTCCATATTTACAGATGTCTGAAATTTAGCAGTGCCTGGGGAGAAATAACAAAAATACTTGGCTCCATCAAAATCCCATTCCATCCATCAAGGGCTGGGTAGGCTTGAGCTGCTTTCCACCCCTGTGTTTGTGCAACAGCCTTGCACTGAGCCCTCTGCCATCCCAGAGGAGGGAAATGCCTGCTCCCTCACCCATGGGCAGCCACCCACCACTGGGAAGACCCTGAACAGAAAGAGGAACTGCATCCCAAAACATGATTTTAGAAAATGTGAGGCCTCTGACCCTTGTGGTTTAGGCCCAAACCTTGGTTTCCTCCTGGTGCTGGAGAAGGGCTGTGGTTATCAGGACTGGGGAGCTCAGCTGTGCTATGGGGGGGCAGCTCCCAGCAGATGCAAAAAATGCTCTCACAGCATTTTCTGCCCTAAAAAACCTTCTGCTCTCCAGGTCATGTCTGTTACTGCTGGCACAAAGAGCAGGAGCAGGTGACACCAGCTCATGCCTGGCTGCCTAATAATGGATGAAACACCATGGCAGGACAGACTTCAGATTTGGTTGCAGAAGAGGTTCTGGATCATAGTGCAAGAGTGGGAGGGTTTGTTTTCTGCTTCTGCTTTGCTGAAATCACGAGCAAAGCAGTTCATATCTGGGGAGTCTCAGTTCCTATAATTTCTAGCAGGGTAACATTGCTGCTACTGCTTTTGTTCCTTCCTACAGAGATTTGTAGCTTTGCTGGGCAGGATCTCTGCTGAAATGTGCTTAGCACAGCTGGAGCCTCTCGTCACAGCTGTAAGAGAGGCAAATAAAAATAACATTTGTGCTTGTCAGCAGTGTCCCATTAGGTTCTCTCAGCATTATTACTCAGCTGCCTTTGATTCAGATATTAGTCAAAT